ACCGACACGTCTCTCACTTCTTTGGTCACGAACCGTCGCAGGAGTCAAGGTGCACTTTCTGAGAGAGCGCCCTCCCTTACCCCCAGTTTCGCAGGGGGCGGGTCTGTGGCGAAGAGAAGAGTGTTAGTGGATTTAGAGGTGGAGGCTTTCAGAGCCTCTGATGTTTTAGAAACCCCTCCGGAAAGGACCAAGGCGAAGAGCCTAATGGAAGTGAAGATGGAGGTGGGAGCTTCTGGGACCCTTGCAACTGCTGCCGAGCCCTCAGCTTCGGTCGCTGCGCGAGCAAAAAAGAGAAGAAGAGGGGCTGTCAAAGCAGTGGTAGGAGAAGCTTCTAAGGATCCTGCTGAGGATGAGACTTTTGAGAAATGGGAGCCGCCAATGTCGCATAACGGCAGGCCCATTTCCACTTCTGATTCAGTTGTTGCTTCACAGGATTTTGCCTTTGATTTGACTAAGTTTTTGTTGATGTCGGTTGACATGGCCGACCATAATGGGCCCCGTGATATTCCTATCCTGAAGGGGACCCTTCAGATGATGACTACTGGAAGTGTTTCCTCGTTTTACTTGTCTTTATTGTTGCGTTGCTGTCTCCTTTTCTCTTAGTTCTTCGTTGTCCTTTGCAGTGTATCCAGAGAATGCATCTATCCATTACCCGTGCTAAAGAGCTAGAAAGGGCTGTGCTGGAGGCCGCAATGAACGCTGAGAGACTGATGGTAAGCTTGGAGACAGAGAAGGAAGGACGCCGAACTGCAGAGAGGGAAACACTTCAGTTGAACAAGATTGTCGCTTCAGTTGAAAAATCGAAAGAGGCTGCTATTGGGACACAGGCTCAACTCGAGAGGAAAGTGGCCGAACTAGAAGCTGTTATTGCCGTGATGGCCGCCGAGTGCTCTGCTTTGGAGGCCAAGCATTGGCAACAGGGCTGGGATGAAGCTGGGGCGGCGTATAAGGAGGAGGTGCTAGTACTGCGAGACAAGATCTTTCTAAAGGGTTGGACAAGTGCTTTGGCTGCTGCACTGGTTCCTGAAGGCTCTTCCTTGTTTCAGGATGTTCTCGTTCCTTCGAGATCCTTGGGTTCAAAGACTGTTTCCACCCCTGCTGTTCTTCCAGCCGAAGTTTTCCCAGAAGCTAATTCTGCAAACAAGACCCAGGACAGTAATGTTGTCGCTGAAAAGGTGGATGTTGAAGGGATTGAAACCCTAGAGACCGAAGCCGCAGGAGATGTGGTTAAGGAGGCTTCTACTTCTCAGGAAGTTAGAGCTGCCTCTACTTTTCCTCCCCAGATGGCCTGGACAAAATTGTTGATGCTGCTCTTGAGTTTCCCTCTGTTATTGAAAGTTGATATTGAAAGGATTCGAACTTTTTTGCTTTTCTGTTTTGATGTGTTGTGGCTCGGTCTCCAGGATGAGCTTTCTTTCTGCACTTGCCAAGACAATTTCTCTTTTCTCTTTTCTTTTTTTTTGCTGCTGGTTATGAGGCCATCTGTGCCTTTTGTTGGATGATAGAATTTTCTCTTTGAACTTGTAGTCTAATGCTGTTTGGCTTTTTATGTCTGAATGTTTTCTATACTACCTACCCTCGGCCGAGCACTGTTGGGACTTCGGGGCTGGATAGATGCTCGGTCTGGTTCTATACTGCTTGCCCCCGGCTGAGCATTGTTGGGGCCTCGGGGCCGAACTGGTGCTCGGTGTGGCTTTGTACTGTTTACCCCCGGCCGAGCACTGTTGGGACCTCAGGACTGAACTGATGCTCGGTGTGGCTAATGGATGTGTGGTATGGCTGTGCTTGAGTTTATAAGTGGATCTTACTTAGGTCCAGGTTGGTTTTAAAAGAAAACAATTGTTTGCCCCCACCTGGAGCTAAGTAAGATTGGTACTGAAGATTGTGCTCTTAGATAGAACTGCTTAAGTCTGTTGCAACTTTGATAGCGTAGATGCGTTTGAATGAGATAAAGGCATGAAGAGGTGTCTTACTTAGGTCCAGGTTGGTTTGAAAAAATAATTGTTTGCCCCCACTTGGAGTTGAGTACGACTAATGCTGGGAGTTTGCTCCTGACAGAGCCTGGTCACGCTTGTTCCAACTCTGTTTGTTTAAATCAGTGTTGCAGTGTTGACGTGTTGGTACTTTAGGAAATCTGTGGATTCAAAGACGTTTACTTAAGATATATTAGTGTGGTTTCCACCAAGCAATTCCACTTGGCTATAGTCCAATTTAGTTGCCAAACATTATTCCACCAAGCAATTCCACTTAGCATGCTTGAGTGCTAACCAAATTTAAATTCCGTCCAGTCGTTCTGAAACTAAGTCCATTTGGGTTAAGACCAAAGTTAATTCCGTTTGATAAACATCAAAGCTAATTCCGTTTGAGGAGGACCAAAGTGTAACAACCCTCTTCATTGTTTACCGAATAACCACTGATTACCGTTAAACTGAAACTGATTATGATTGATAATTGAACTGATTGAAATACTGAACTGACTGACTGAAATATGGAATTGATTTGACTAAGTATATCTGTTTAACTGTATGTCTATTTGTTGACTGGTTAATTATCTATTCAGTTTTTATGTTTAAACTGCAAATTGAAGGCCTTATCGGCGGCCGAACCGGAAACCGATTAGTGTTTTATGATCATCGTAATTTATGTGATTTTATGGTGTAGTTACCTGAAAACTGATTTGGTATGATTAAATTAGATTAATATTGATAAATTGCATTGGTACACTTATTCACAATTTTGCCATCCTTAGTGGCCATTACCTAGGACATCTTTGAGCCTTATTTCACTCAAACAAAAACATTTCCTCAGCCCCTTGTCCTTGCTAGCCGACCAAGAGAGTGATAGTAAGAATAGTGAATTCAACATAGAGATTTGGCTTGAATCTTGAAGAATTGAAGGCTTAAGTGCATAGTTGAGCCTCTAGACTTGTAATTGAGGAACCTAGGTATGAATTTCATCCTTCTTATTGTGTATTTAAGTTCCTTCGTAGCATGGATCATGTAGTTGAAAGAGTTAAGTCAAGAATTGGTTCATTAATGTTGAATTGGAGCTCATTCCATGCATACATGTTTGAATTGTTGAATTTGAGTTGATTCCATGGAGATATTGTCTCATGCATGCTCGTGGTTATGTTAAGTCCATGTTTTCATCTTGTTTTTGGAACAATTGGCTCCTTAGAGCATCAAATTGAAGCTTTGAAATTGGTTTGAATTCATGCATGTCATGTTTGAAATATTGTTCATGAAATTGGTTTGAAATTGGGTTGAATTGATCTTCCTTTGGGGTTTGATTTCTCAAATTGAGCTTTGAATCATGTCATTCTATATGTTTACAAGTGTTTTTTGGAAATTCAGCCCAAGAGGATCGAAATTTATGTTTTAAAACTTGGTTTTGAGCTTGAGGTTCAAATCTGGAATTTCCAGAATTTGGACTCACGCTCGAGCGGGGTGACTAGCGCTCGAGCGTGGAAATCGTGCTCCCAGCATTTTGTTCTGTTTTGAAGTTCGCTCGAGCGGAATAATTGATGCTCGAGCGGGACATTGTGTCTCACGCTCGAGCGGGCGTCGAGCGCCCAATCGAGCTTGATTTTCGCCTATCCAGCACTTTTGACTGTTTTGCAGAACGCTCGAGCGGGTAAGTCTACGCTCAAGCGGAAACCTTTGTTTGTATGTCCGCTCGAGCGTGACCCCTGTTTTCTGAAAAGTCTGAAAATGCTTTTAAAGTGCATCTTTACATCCTCATCTCATTCTAGACATTCTTAGGCCTAGTTTAAGATATCTTAATGAGGATATAGATGTAGAACCACACCGAGGCAAATTAGGGATTAAGTTATTATCTTTCCCAACTATGTAGCTTAGTGTGTGTTCAATCTGTAACTGTGTAGGGTTGGCGACTGGGGACGCGCTCTAGCTTTACTGTAGCCCAGAACTCTGTGAGTAACAACTGTGTAAAGATATGTTCAAAATGATTATCTTCTGAACAATTGAACTGTATTGCTTTCTGAACTGATACAGTTGATTGAATGACTGTACTGTGGCATCCTTAGCAACTACTGTTTACTGTTTAGTGTTACAGAGATCTCTGTCGGTTCCCTTGTTGGAACCACTACTGTTTACTGATTGATGGCCATCATTTACTGCTCAGTCTTTTAAGACCTACTGTTTACTGTACTGTTATGCTAATGGATGTACCACATATGACTGTACTGACTGAACGACTGAAATACTGATTTAATGAACTGTTTTCATTACTGTAAGGACATTCATTCTTAACCCCTTTATGCATTGTGTTATTCACTTGGCTTTAGCTCACTGGTCATATATATATGTAGGTGTACAGGCACTAGACTGCAGCTAGGAGCGTCGGAGTAAACTCTAGTTTTGTCGAGCCAACCTTTGTGCCTCAATGCGAGGTTCCGAGCCTGTCAAGTTATGGCTTAGAGGTGTTTTAGTTTCCCCCCCCCTTTCCTGCCTCTGTAACTGTTGTTTACTATACTGTACTATTTAATAGGGATTAGGTCCCTAACTGAATGATTATATATATATATATGTACATATTGTTTCGTCTGACTGTATATATATGAATGAAAAGTCTTTTTGCATACAGATTATCACAGCTCATTGGATACTGTCTATTTACTGTTTTGGCTTCCGCCAGCCCCTGTACTCTGTATTACTGTATTACTGGTAAGCAGGCCTTCGGTAATCTCGGATTACTGGCCGGTTACGGTGCTAAACCCATAGGGGCGGGTTTGGGTCGTGACACAAAGCTAGTTCCGTTTGATAAACATCAAAGCTGATTCCATTTGGTGAGGACCAAAGCTAGTTCCGTTTGATAAACATCAAAGCTAATTCCGTTTGGTAAGAACCAAAGCTAATTCCGTTTGATAAACATCAAAGCTAATTACAGGAATTTGATAAATTTGAGAAAAGTGGGGAAGCATTTGCATTGGTCAACAGATAAATGCCTTTACATTCTGGTAGAGAGGGTAGGGGACAATTCTATTGATAGCATTTCTTGAGATTTGCTACGTTCCAGGGCCGAGGTATAGCGCTTCCATTAAGATCCTCTAGGTAGTAGGCTCCATTTCCAACGACAACTGTGATTTTGTAGGGACCTTCCCAGTTAGGCCCAGGTTTGCCCTCGCCTGGTACCTTTTTATGATCCATAACTTTCCTCAAGACCAGTTCTCCTGGTGTAAATTGCCTTGGGAAAACTTTTTGGTTGAAACTTTTGATGAGCTGCTGCTGATACGCTACAAGTTTGATCAGTGCTGCTTCTCTTCGGCCCTCTGCCATATCTAGTGCTTGTGCAATAGCTTCCTCGTTACTGGTGCTCTCAAACAATTCAAACCGAAGGGTTGGGAGGCCTACTTCGAGTGAGATGACGGCCTCCATTCCGTAAGTTAGTGAGTAAGGTGTTTCCATTCCGTATGCCCATAGCATGTGGGGTAACTCTTCAACCCATTTTCCTTTAGCATGCTCAAGCCGTTTCTTTACTCCGTTGATGATGGTTTTGTTTGAGGCTTCCGCCTGTCCATTGCTTTGTGGGTACCCTGAAAAGAGTTCCTATACTCGATCCTGAGGTCGGCACAAAACTTTCTGAAGATCTTACCATCAAACTGCGTTCCATTGTCCGCAATCAGTACTCGCGGGATGCCGAAACGCACCACCACATTTGTCATAACAAACTGCTTCGTATCTGCCTCTTTGATATTTACCAATGCCTCGACTTCAACCCATTTAGTAAAATAGTCGGTTGCTGCAATGAAGAATCGCTTGTTCCTAGTGCCTCGCGCTAATGGTCTGATAATATCCAGACCCTATTAGGCAAAGGGCCATGGGCTGGTGAGTGGGGTGAAAGTTTTGGCTGGCTGATGGATGAATGGGGCAAACCTTTGACATTTATCACACTTCTGTACGTACTGCTGAGCATCTTGTTGAATCTGTGGCCACCAATACCCGTGAGTGAGGGCTCGGTGCGCCAACGACCTTCCTCCAACATGGCATCCACAAATCCCATCGTGAATTTCGTAGAGAACATTCTCGACCAGATTTGGATGCACACATAGAAGATAAGGGCCAATATAGGAGCGTCTGTACAGCTTCCTGGATGGTGAGATCCAAAACCGAGCTGACTTGTGTCTGACTTTGTTGGCTTCCTTTTTTTCTTCGGGGAAAGCACCAGATTTTAGAAAAGCAAGTATTGGATCCATCCAGCTCGGCTTTACGCTGCTGCAGAGGACTGGAGATGCAATACTTGGCTGTGGCACGAACTCAACCCAAACTTTTCTGGCATCTTTGGTATCCACTGATGAGCCGAGACAAGCCAAAGAATCAGCATGGCCGTTTTTGTCCTGACTAATTCGTTCCACTCGTATGGATTGAAACTTTTTGAGTAAGTCTTTGGCCTTGCCTGCGTACATGGCCATTCTTTCATCCCGTGTTTCGTAGACCCCGAAAAGCTGGTTTACCACTAGTTGTGAATTGCTAAAAACAAGAAGCTGTGCTGCACTGAAGTGTTCGGCACTACGTAAGCCAGCCAACAACGATTCGTACTCTGTCTCGTTGTTCGAAGCCTTCCAACCGAGCCTGAGAGCCTGTTCCCAGATAAATACTTCTGTTGAGATAAGTACTACTCCTGCCTCTGAACCTCGATTATTGGATGACCCGTCAACATAGAGCTGCCAGATGTTTTCGATGAAGAGTTTCCAGGCTTCCGAAGTGCAGGGCTTTCCTTGTTCGTTGATGCATGGCACCTGTGCCGAACTTGGGTTCCCTGGTTCGGTACTCTGGGTGGGAGCAAATTTTGAGATGAAATCTGCTAAGACCTGGGCCTTAATTACTGTCCTGGGTTGATACCGAATGTCAAACTCGCCAAGTTCTACTGTCCATTTTGCTGTTTTACCAGAGAAATCGGCTCAGCTAAATACAGATTTGAGGGGGAATTCAGTGAGGACATTGATGGTATGCCCCTGGAAGTAATGTTGTAACTTCCTCGAGGCGATAAGCAGCGCGTAAGCTAACTTTTCCAATGGTAGATACCGTGTCTCGGCATCTAGTAAAGTCTTGCAAACGTAGTATACAGGCCTCTGTTCCTTGTTAACCTTTCGAATTAATACTGTGCTTACGGTATGATCTGAGACTGCTAGATAAAGGTACAGCTCCTCTCCTAGCTCTGGAGTAGACAGAAGGGGAGGTGTACTGAGGTATTTTTTGAGAATTTGTAGTGCTTTGGTGCACTCAGAACTCCATTCAAATGCTGCCCTTTTCTTCAAAAGCTGGAAGAAGGGCTTCATCCGGTCTGAAAACTTGCTGATGAACCGATTCAGTGCGGCTGCCATTCTAGCCAGTTTCTGCAGCTCCTTAGCCTTTGTTAGTATTTCAAGATCTTGTATTGCTTTTATTTGGTCCGGATTCGCCTCAATTCCTCTGTGAGTGACCATATATCCCAAGAACTTCCCTGTTCCTACCCCGAAAGCGTATTTCGAGGCATTGAGGTGAAGCTGATGGTTCTTTAATATGTGTAGACGCGCCCGTGGAGGGGGCCTCGACGCTACAGTTCGGACTCGATTTTGTTGTCGCGGTTCTTAATCTGAACCAAAGAGTCCAAATGATCATCCGCTGGTAGGTTGCTCCAGCGTTCTTGAGGCCGAACGACATCACTTTGTAGCAGTAAGTTCCTCTCAGAGTGATAAATGCTGTCTTTTCTTGATCCAGACCGAACAATGGTATCTGGTGATAGCCACTATAAGCGTCCAGAAAGCTCATGCATTCATACTCTGCTGTTGAGTCTATTGACTGATCGATGCGAGGCAGCGGAAAGTTATCTTTAGGGCAGGCTTTGTTTAAGCAAGTGAAGTCAACGCAAACTCTCCATTTTCCGTTCTTCTTCTTGACTACAACTGTGTTGGACAGCCATTGCGGGTACTGAACTTCCCTGATTGCTCCTGAAGCTAGGAGTTTTTCGCCGTCGGCAATTACTGCTTCGGTGTGCTCGACTGAGGATCTCTGACTTTTTTGCACAATGGGTCGAGCTGAAGGGTTGATGTTGAGCTTGTGGCAAGCAAATTCTGGGTCCAACCCTGGAGTATCATATGCTGACCATGCGAATACCTCCATATTTTCCCTTAGCAGTTCCAGCAGCTGAAGTTTCTCATCAGCGCCTAGCGAGGTACCGATAAGGAAGTACTTTTCTGGGTCATCCTCTTTTACCAAGACTTTATCCAAATCCTCTACCATCTTTTCCTCTGGGATTCCCCCTACATCTTTCAAGACTGGCTGTTCGGCCACTTCTACCATCTGTACCCGATTGCAGAGCTGCTTTGCCTTTAATGCTGCCATGAAGTAATGTTTGGACGCAACTTGATCCCTTGAGATTTGCTCTACTCCGTGTTTCGTTGGGAAACGGATGAGCTGGTGGTAGGTTGAAGGGACTGCCTCCATTTGATGAATCCATGGGTGGCCAAGTATGGCGTTGTAAGGGGATGGTGTATTAATAACCAAGAACTCTATTTGGAGGGTTTTTGTTCCCGCCACGACTGGCAACACTATTCTGCCAAGAGGCCATTCTGGCTATGAATTGAAACTGACCAACGGGGCTGCCGCTGGGGTGAGGTGCTGCTCGGAGAGACCAAGCTTTCTGAACAAATCATAATACAATATGTTTGCTGCACTACCTTGATCTACTAGGACTCATTTTACGTCAAATCGTTTCCCAATTCCCATAGTTATAATCAGTGTATCAGTGTGTGGGTGCTGCATGCCTTCTAAATCTTTGCCAGTAAATGAAACAGTACACAAGGGGGATTTGGGTACTGTACGTACCTTTTTCGATGTAGGCTCTACTGACATGACCCTCTGAATTTGCGCAGCCTTAGCGATCTCTTCTTTCAGTGCCTCCAGATTCCTGAGTCGCCGTCCTGTGGATCACATTTATTATCAACCGAGGTGGGTGCTCAACATTCGGTTCTGGTAGCGGGTTCCCCGGTTTGGCTACTTCCTTATCTTGATCAATGTAATCCCTTAAGTGCCCAGCTGCCACTAGATCTTCTAAGTGTTGCCTCAGTGCCTTGCAGTTCTGAGTCATGTGCCCCCTGTCTTGGTGGTAGGTGCATCTGAGCTTCTGATTGCGTCGAGCTGGATCTCCCAACATTTTCGGCGGCCAAACAAAGAAGGGCTCTCTCTTGATCTTTTCCAGGATTCGATAAATTAGCTCTTTGAATACAGTCATAACGGTTTCGTGGGATTTGGACTTATCCACTTCATTCACTGTAATCCCTCGGTGTTCTCCTCGATCTGTTCTCTTCTTGTGCCGAGCTGTTTGTTCTGCTAACGCTACCTCGATGGGGATCTGATCATCTTCAAGGCGAGCGTACTGCTCAATCTTGACGCGCAAATCTTTCAAAGCTATGGCCAGGCGCTTGGTAAGCGATTGTCTCAACTTACTTTCCCAGCGTAGACCATGTTTGAAAGACATAACGGCCATCTATTTGCTGCACACATTTTCCTCCAGGTCATTGTACTCTTCCTAGTACCTCCTAGCATAATTGCGCAACGTTTCCTCCTGCTCCTTTCGGAGACCGAACAGTGTATCCGGCTCCTTTGGGATCTTAGTGTTGGAGATGAACCTGGCTAGGAACTCTTCGAAGAGCTGCTTCCAGCCATAGATCAATCCAGCGGGGAGACGATCGAACCATCGAAGTCCGGTTTCTCCTAAGCTGGATGGGAAGACTTTCAGTGCCTCATCTCGGCTCCATAGGGACATCATCTGTCTATAATGGCTAATATGTGTTAGCGGGTCCGACTTCCCATCGTATGAAGTGAACTTTGGTGGGGTGAATTTCTTTGGAGGTCTCAAGGTCTCAATCTCCGGGGAGAATGGCGAAGAGACGAGCCTGTCCAACGCTCGGTGTTCTCTCTGGTGAACAGTACTGTCCAGATGATCCCGATGTTATTCGTTCTGCCTATTGCCAATCAACCAAGTACGAAGGTCCTGAGGAGGGTAGTCAATCTGTTGGCTAACTGTCTTCTGCCTCTTGGCCCTTCTCCGGCATGACCCATGGGTGTGACTGCTTGCTGCCTCACTCTGTACTGGGATAGGCTGGCTTTGTTGCCCAGTCTCATTCTTGGGGAACTTCTTCGCTGGTGGCTCTCTAGATGAGCTCCTCCTTCATAAACGAGAGGGCTCCGCTTCCGTCTTCTTTTCCGTCGGATCGCCCAACACCCTCTTAAGTTGGGCTTTCAACTCCTGTATCTCTATTCCCATGGAGTCTATGATTCGATCTCTATAATCCTTTTCCAGAAGAAAGTGATGAGAAGAACCTCCAGCGAAGGGTAATCGATGCTCGACGGATTCAGGGGTTCGATTATTGTTTCCAGTTTGTTCCTTCGGGAATGTTGGGAGTGGCAAACCTTTGTCCTTCGTTTTCTCCTTCTGTGGAGTGTGTGTCGAAGGCATCCTGTATCTCTATTCCCATGGAGTCTATGATTCGATCTCTATAATCCTTTTCCAGAAGAAAGTGATGAGAAGAACCTCCAGCGAAGGGTAATCGATGCTCGACGGATTCAGGGGTTCGATTATTGTTTCCAGTTTGTTCCTTCGGGACTGTTGGGAGTGCCAAACCTTTGTCCTTCGTTTTCTCCGTCTGTGGAGTGTGTGTCGAAGGCAGAATGTCCTCAATCCCCCTCGCCGGAACTGAGTGCAGAGCTCAGAGATGAAGTGATCTACGTTCACCGCACCAATTGTGCGTACCGGATTCCGCACTAGATGAAAGTGGATCAGGGCTCCGCACTCGGTTGGACTATCCAGGGACTAAGGTTCCTGCCACAAGAAACACCGTTAGAGCTGCCCGGCTGGGGTTGGCCGGATAACCCCTCCGGTGTAGGAATTAGTGATCGGAGAGAGAATGTATATCGAGTTAAGCTTGTATTTTTACTTGGAATCGTTCAGTTACCTTCAATGTGAAGTTCATGTTGTATATATAGTGTTCCTTGTTTGCTTCTCAAGGTGGGTTCATGGAGTTTGGATGCTGCCAGGTGTCCTTTTAGCATTGCTCAAGGTGGGAGACCGCCTAGTAGTTGTCATTGAATGCATATGCTCATTGTAGTCATGCTGATAACAAACCACATTCCTCTGATTCAACAACTTCCGTGATTCTAGGTGTAGGGGACCAGCCGAGGTAGCAACTTGCACATGCACACATTTACAACTTCTACGTTTCCTTGCGAGGTTTCCTCAGCTCAGTACCGATGTGTCTCAGCTCGGCATTATTATGCCTTGTCTCGGCCTTTTACAGGATCGTTCATGGAGATGGGCTGATCCATTCGGTTATCTTTGTATGGGCTCGGCCCATAGGTTCAGTCTCGTAGCTCGGTCTAGCCCAACACCATGGCTGGACTAGCCTTTCCATTGCGGGTTGGGCCTAAGTGCTTGAGGACCTGGGTGGACTGTTGATCATGAAGTTGGGCTCAATTGGTTTGCCCATATACTTATCCAGCCCACTTGGATTCGGATTTCAGTGGATTGGGCCGGCCCAAGGCTTGGACCCGACCCATTTCACATTTAGCCCTTTCACCCATCCACCCCCCTCTTGATCCATCTTGATCCACTCTCTGAAACCCTCTAAAACCCTCCCAAATAGAAACCCCAAGTAAACCCTAAATCGAGAGAGGTTGAAACCCTAAATTAAAGATGAAGAAGAACCCGAAACTCCAAGTTAAACCTTGCACGAAGATGAAATCGCCTGAAATCCATCAAGCATCTTGAAATCCAGGTAATTATTGTTTAAATTTGCCTCAGATTTATTAAGGTTTGCTTGGGATTTGTTGAGATTGCTTGAAATTTGTTTGAGATTGCTTCAAATTTGATTGAAATTGCTTGATTGTTGTTGTTGTTGACTGATTTTGTTTCGAAAAAAAGTTGGTGAATTTTGAAACAAAAAACAATTGCGAAATCATTTAAAAATTTTGGTGATTTCTATTTTAAAAAAAATAAATTGATGAATTTTGTTTTTAAAAAAAAAATTGATCTGTTTTTGGGAGGTTTTTCTGGGAAAGGATGAGAAAGGGAAGGAGGGAGGGAGGGAATGAAGGGAAAGTCGTTGGTTTTGAGTGTTTTAGGTGAGTTGGCAGATTTGTCAACTGCCAAAACTGTTGCCAAATTTGACACATGGTTTGGCAAATGCCAAATTTGGCAGTTGCTATACCATGCCATTGGAGAACCCATTTCTGCCAAACCTGCCATATTATGGCTTTGACAGCCCTTTTAGAAAACCATTGGAGGTGCTCTAATCCTTCTTCGATGAGACGATTTAGAGACATGAGATTGAGCTCCCTTCGAACCCTTCTCCATTTTTTGATGAAACCTTCTGGGTTCATTTTGATTAGAAGCCAAAGCCTTGTATTTTGATATATATATATATATATATATTTTCAATATATTTTTTTGGTGTACGATTCATTGTCATAGGGGATCTAAGCGGCTTTTTTATATGTTGGCTG